ATACACGCTTTAGTTCTCTGCCCGCGGCAGGAGAGCTGGGTCTGCAGAAGCCTTTCCTCTGTCCCCTCTCTCTTGCCTGTCCCCAGAGACAGTTTAAAGTTTTTATTTTCATTGGTTTCTGGGCCATTCATTCAGTTTCTTTCTCTCTCTCTCTTTCTTTCTTTCTTTCTTTCTTTCTTTCTTTCTTTCTTTCTTTCTTTCTTTCTTCCTCTTTCAACAGGCTTTTTTATGGGGAAGGGACTGAAGAAAGAGAATTGGATGAGAACTGATTTATTTTTATTTACTTTACAGCTTTTTATTTTTATTTTGTTTTTTAACGTTTATTTATTTTTTGAGAGACAGAGAGACACAGAGCATGAGCAGGGGAGGGACAGAGAGAGAGGGAGACACAGAATCCGAAGCAGGCTCCGGGCTCCGAGCGGTCAGCACAGAGAGTCCCGTGTGAGGCTGGAATCCACAAACTGCGAGATGATGACCTGAGCCAAAGTCAGACGCTTAACTGACTGAGCCACCCGGGCGCCCCAGTGTTTCTTTTTGTAAGAATAAGCATGTTCATGTTCACACCTGAAGTGCACGTGTGCGGAGTTGCACCCTGTTTTCCTTGATGATGTTACCCTGGAGATCATCTTGTGCTGGCATTCTGTGTTAACTGAGAAACGGACTTTTATATCTGGCCCACTCAGAGAAAAATTACTTTTCCTAGCGACACCTTCCTGCACGGTGCAGGCACTAAAACCTTCAGAATACCTCTGGAAGGAATGGTCCAGAAGGACACCTGAGCTCCTCCTGCCACAGCGACGAGGCCCAGCAGCCCACGCGGCCGAGCCGGGGAGCTCCGGGCTGCAGGTGGGGGCCTGCCGGGCGGTCCCGCCGGCCGAGGTGAGAGGCAGCTCCCCCCGGGCTGCTGTGCTGTCGCCAGCGGGTGACTCAGCCTCCTGGCCACGCGCCAGCCGGGTGTGAGGAGGCTGTCCTTTAAATAGAGCTCAGCACGCGTAAGGCTTTTCTTGGGGGTTAGACGCCCATAAGACACATGCAGCACAGTGCACCCGCTTTGAGAAGTGCGTGCATCTGTCCGGCCCCCTCACACTCCGGACGCACATGCTCCATTCACCCCCAAGGGCCTCTCCTGCCCTCTCGTTGACAGGCACGCGCCCCGCTTCGCGTCTCTGTAGTTTTGTTTGCCGTGTCACGATTTGCGGAAACGTACTTGCACATCGCGATCGTGTCTGGCTGCTTCACGCGGGGTGTTCTGGGTTCGCCCTGGTCGCGCACACACCGTATCCGTCAGTCCACCGGGCGCCGGCGGTTCGGTTTCCTGGTTTGGGCAGTAATGAATCAAGCGTCTCTGAGCGTTCATGGACAGGGCTCGGTGTGGACGTACGCGTGCGTGTTCTTTTCTCCAGGGTAAATACCGGGAGCGGAATTGCTGAGTCACAGGGGAAACCTGTGTTCAGGCTCCTCAGGCTCAGGCCAGACTTTTCCTAAGTGGTTGTGGGAATGTGCTGTTCATCCAACAGGAGAGTTCCTGTCCCCGCACGCCTGTGCTGGCACGTGGCAGGGTCGGCCTCTTGCGTTCTAACTGCCGGTGGGTGTGTGGTGGCGCCCCACCCATCTGGCTTCACGGTCCTTTCTTGAGACTTAGTCTGCATATCGTGACGTCAACCCCGTTGAGCGTCTGACATTGAGTTTTAACAAACACATACGTTACGTGTGACTGCCACCACGGTCAAGGTGTGGACTCCTCCCCAGGCCTGTTGGTGGTTACCCCCGGCGGCCCCTCACTGGCCCTGGCACCCTGTCACTATGATTTGCCTTGTCCGGAGTTCCGTAAATGTGAGCTTGCACAGTGGTGGTCTTGTGTGTCTGGCCTCCTGCACTTAGTGGGACGCTCCTGAGGCTTAGCGGGGTGTCGCACGCACCCCTTTCATCGTGGACGACTGTTCCATGCCGTGGATTTGCTGCATTCTAGCCGTGCTCTGAATCGTCTCTCTCTAATTGGTAAGAGTTAACCTCTATCCCGGTTACGATTCCTTGGAGGTCACGTATGTGGCCGGTGTGCTCCTCGGCTGACGGCCAGCCTTTGCACTTTTCTTCGTGGCGACGAGTGGGTTTCTTGGTTTTCCTGTAGCAGCATTTGTCTGTCTTGTCTTCGTGGTAAACACCTTTGAGTCATGTTTAATACCTTCTTCCTAACCCCAAGGTCCCAGGGATATTCTCCTGTATTTTCTTCTGACATCTTGACATTGGCTTCCGTCCCACAGGATCAGCTGTGTGTGTGTGTGTGTGTGTGTGTGTGTGTGTGTGTGTGTGTGGTGCAGTAGAGCTCGGGGTCACTCTCTCCTCTTTCTCCAGCAGACAGTTGTCCCAGCACTGTTTCTTTGTTCCTTACCCCACTGGTCTGCATGTCCCTCTGCAGTATTTCAAGTTTGTATTGCATAGGGGTCAGTTTCTGGGCTCTCGGTGGCTCTCACTTGGTTTATCTGCCTTTTCCTCGGTAGCATCGTGTCCATAGTGTAGCTCTGTGCTGACACTGGGGCAGTACCTCATTCGTTTCTTCCAGAGAAATTGTCTGTTTTTTGGTATTTTGATCTTGCTTATACATTTTTCAGCCAAATCTTTGAAGCTTGTGAAAGTCCCCAGAGTTGCTTTGATTGGGATTGTATTGGTCCGTGGGTCAGTTCGGGGAGGATTGACATCTACGGTATAGTGCCTATGTATTCATGAATTTGGTTTATCACTCTTTAGATCTTCTGTAAGATCTTTCATTCAAGTGTATGTATTTTTTTCCATGTAGGTCTTGTTAGATTCTTTCTAGGATTCTCTAAATAGTAGTTTTTAAGAATTGCATTTTCTAGTTTTTGGTGATGGTACATTGGATTGTAGTTGAGATTTGGACATTGACCTTGTGTCTACCAATCTTATCAAATGCTTTCATTAAAAAATGTGTGTGCCATTAAAAAAATTTTATTTATTTTGAGATAGAGAGTGAGAGTGTGTGGAAGGATCAGAGAGAGAGAGAGGGGAAGAGAGAGAATCCCAAGCAGGCTCTGCTCTATCAGTGTGGAGCGTGATGTGGGGCTTGAACCCATGAGAACCATGAGATCATGACCTGAGCCGAAGTCAGATGCTCAACCGACTGAGCCACACAGGCACCCCTGTGGGTGCTGGTTTTTTTGGGTGTTACATGTGAAGAATCCAGTTCTGTACAATTAATGACAATTTCATTTCATCAGAGCCTTATGCTCCCACTCCCTGACCTGTCCTCTGGGCTGTCGGCTTGCTGGGACCTTGGGTACGGTGTTGGGTAAAAGAGGTGATGGCTGGCCTCTTTGAATTATTCCTGATTTCAAAGGAAATGCTCCTAAAGATCTGCCATTGGAGATGATAGTTTGTAGATTCCCTTCATCAAGTTAAGGAAGCTCCTTCCCACTGCTAATTCTCCGAAGTTGTTTGCTTTTTTTGGCGGGGATATTTATTCTGTAGTCATGAGTGGATGTTGAGTTTATCAGATGCTTTTTCTGCCAACTGTGGGAATTGCCTTCATGTTACTGAAAACTGCACAGTGTCTCTTGTCAGCACCTTCTTCCTCCCACCTACGCTCTCCTTCCTCGTTCTCCGGCTTTTCCAGCCGCACCCCCACACCCACACTTCCGGAGAGTTCCGAAGCCACCAGCTAGGAGCCCCCGGCTTCTCCTTCCCGAGTGCCGGCCCCTCCTGCCTGGGCCCTTGGGGCCTCGCTCTCCTGTGCTTGGACCTCAGCCTCCTGGGTCCCCTCTCTGTGCCCTTCCCAGCTGTCCCTCGCGGTGTCCTCGCCTGCGTCTCTGGGACAAGGTGTGTTCTCCCTCACCCTCCCGGCAGCGAGGCCCCACTCCTTCCCGCGTCTTTACCGTGTCGCTTCCTCCGTGAAGCCCGTTAGGCCCCTCAGATGAGGTGCGGAGGCCCCCTGGCTCCGGGCTCCTGCGGTGCTGCGTGGCCCCCCTCCACGGCCTGGGTGGACGCGCGCGGGTCCGCTGCTCGGCTCGTGCCCTCCCCCCACCACGCGGGAGGCCCCAGGAGCGGGTGCCGCCTCGTGCCCCTGGTTTTCGTTGGTGCGTGTTGCATGCTGGCACGTAGTAGGTCCTCCGTGGGTGAGTTGCTGGCTGACTGCGGGAAGGGATGGGCTCGGGCCCCTGCTTTGCTTCCTCGACTCCAGTGTTCTGAGAAGCGGGGTTGCCCGGGGCTGACGTTCTGCTGTAAATCACGTAAAGTCACGGCCTCTGCCACCTGACCTCCGTTTCCTTGAACTTGTGCAGCGTTTGCACGAAAACTTCCACAAGAGGCAGGGTGTCCAGGGTTCAGTGTAGCTGCTACGGCCCCAGGCGCTGGACGGGCCTCCAGTCTGGCTCCCCCCGAGTCCGGTCCCGCGGCACGGGCGGCTCTGACTGTTACGGCGCCTTTGACACTTTGAGGTCAGTCCCTCTCCTGCGGCCTCTGTGGCTCACCGGCCAGCTGGACACGTGCGAGGGCACAGACGCTCACCTCAGGGTGGCCAAGTATGCGGATTTGAGGGTACAGTAGATGATACTGACTGTGCGAGGACGTAGACCTTGCTGAGTAGAAGGCCATGGGGATGACCCTGCAAGGGATAGTGCCTTTCTCTCTGCTTACGGATCCTGACAGAGACCCAGAATGTTCTTCCAGAGCATCCTGCGCATTCTCCGCCTCGGTGTTCGTGCAGAGCCACCTGTCCTATTTCCAGAGCTGCTCTTGGGACCCTGGACATCAGCACAGCTTTGTGAGAGAGGCGGTGCAGAGGCGGCTGCTTCGGCACCTGCCTGGGGCTGCTCTGCACGTCTGCTTTGGGACTGCGTTCCTGAGGTTTTGCCGGGAGCATGTGCGCGTTTACTCTTGTCTACGCACGGTTTACACTAGGAAGCACTTAGGGTGAATAACAGCAGTATCCCTCACGGGAGAAGACAAAGTCCAGAGAAGGGGGGTAGCGGAAATGAAGGAAAGGCAGGATGGACTGGGGGCGAGGGCACGAGGGGCCGCGGGCTGTTCCGCTGCTGTGGGAGCGCTGGGGGCACAGGTGGGGAGCAGAGCCTCCCCCGGTCAAGGCTGAGGGAGCACCAGAGGAGTGCATGAACCGCACCCGGAAGAGCGTGGTAACGTGTGTGTGCAGAGGCTCTCGGGTGATGCAGGGCGTTTAGGATTTCAGCCTGAAGAGTAAGAGGTAACTGCGCTCCGTCTCGATCCTGAGAGTTCAGGGAGGTTGAGGGGTTGACCTGGGCCAGTGGGGGTGCTCGCTGCCCACACGGGGAGGCTGCCCGGAGCAGGAGTGCAGGCAAGTCGCCGACGCCCCTGATTTCAGGGGTTTTAGAGAAGTGAGAACATGAGAAGGTGGCACTGGCCGAGCAGAGGAAGGGCCAGGGCGCAGAGCCCACGACTCCTCTCCCAAGCGCCGTGCCCTCCCAGGCAGGGGCAGGGACAGGGACACTGGGTGAAGTGCGGTGGGCAGGTGCTTGTCCACCAGCCAGGCAGGTCGGGCCGCGGCCCCTTGAGAGTGGGGAGGCCTGGGGCCATGATGTCGGAGGGCAGCCTGGCCCTCGGTTAGGGAGGCTGTGTCCTCCATCCTGCCCTGTTGTTGGAGAGCCGGCCGTGTCTTTTCTGGGGACGGTGTCTTCTCTCCACCTTCCGGAAGAGCGGTGACATGTAGACAGTGCTGGAGCCGCAGGGCGGGGCCGCCTGGACCCTCTGGCGCGTTGGTGTTTAGTAAGTGTCTGTTGAGTGCGAGGCCCCGGCCACCCCCGGACACGTGCAGCATGGAGTGTCTGGGACCGGGCTGGGCAGACGTCCATGGGAGAGAGCACCTCGGCTCCCAGGGTTGCAATGGGGCCACAGGGATGGGGACGGTGCGTGGGTCCCGGGGTGAAGTGGTGGTGGACCTTGGGGGGGGGGGCAGAGGTGGCGGCAGGCAGCCCTCCTCACAGCCCATCACCCAGCACTCGCCGGCCCTGTTTTTCTCGCTGTGGATTTAAGTGACGCGGGGACTGTAACACTGACGTAAAGGGCCGTAGATGGTGGGGCACCGTGCAGACACCCTGAGCCGTGTGCAGACCGTGGTTTTCGGCTCTCAGCACACCGCTGAGCACGCCCGCGGCACTGTCACCCGGGTCGGCCCCCTGTGTTGCTCCGCAGGTGTATTTTTACGTCACACATCAAGGACATGCGTCTCTCCCGGCACACAGTCGGAGCACATTCCTCTGGATGATGTGCGGTTCTCGGTGCGCACGTGGCCCGCTGGCTGCACTTGTGCCTCCCGGGCGAGGGACGCGCCTTCCAGCACTGGTGCTGTGAGAAGAGACCCTTGCCCAGAATTTAAGCCCTGCATCCACCCCAGGCTGTGATAGATGTAGGTGAAGAGAGTCATCTAGTAATTTGCCCGTCTTCGTTAGTGAGGCTGAGCTCCTTGCTGCCTGGCCCTTTGTGTTGCTTTTGGGAATCACTTGATACATTTTTTGGCCACTGATATTTACTTAAAAAATGTTTTTAGATTTTATTTTTAAGTAATCTCTATACCCACTGTGGGGCTCGAACTCACAACCCTGAGATCAAGAGTCACATGCTGGATGGACTGAGCCAGCCAGGCGCCCCTTGGGCACTTTCTAAAGTAGATAAGACAGCTGTGATTACGACAATTTAGTCAAGATTTGGACAGAATTTTGTTTTCAGAAATTGTGCTTTAAACACATTCATTACAAAATTTCGACCTGTATGGAAATGTTTGATCCACCCCACCCCCCACCCATGGCCTCTTCCACCGGCCCAGCCCGTGGCAGATGGTTTTGCAGGGTGTGTGTGTGTGTGTGTGTGTGTGTGTGTGCGCGCGCGCGCACGCGCGTGTACATGTGTGTATGTGTGTCTAAAACACAGTGTCTGAAGAGTTCTGGGGACATGCTACTTTAAACTGTTAACGTCCTAAGTTTCATCAGGACTTGGAAAATCCAAGGATGCTGTGAGGAGAGGGAAACGTGATGGGTTGTGGAGTCCTGACTCTGTCTCAGGCCGCCATCCGCTTTGAACCCTGAACTGGCGGGGGATCCACCTGCCCTGAGGCTTTTTTGTGTTTCTTTTTTATTGAAGCGCCGGGGACCCGCAGCGGTATGTTGGTTTCAGTGCATCATGCACGACGTATGACGTGGCGATTGGCATGTCTGTCATGGTCATCCCGAGTTTGGTGTTTTGTTTTCATCAAACATTTCAGATATTTTTTCTAATTTTTCGCATTTGAAAGCATTGACAGCATGGGAAAACAGTTCCCTTTTTTTTTAATATTTATTTTTGAGAGAGAGAGAGAGGGAGAGAGCATGAGCAGGGGAGGGGCAAAGAGAGAGGGGGACACAGAATCCGAAGCAGGCTCCAGGCTCTGAGCCGTCAGCACAGAGCCTGACGTGGGGCTCGAACCCATGGACCGCAAGACCATGACTTGAGCCGAAGTCGGAAACGTAACCCACTGAGCCACCCAGGTGCCCCAGGAAAACAGCTCTTCACATGCATGTCCACCAGATAGCACACTAGCCACTGGTTGTATTTTTCTTGGCTCCTTGTCCTTACGATGGTTGGGCTTGTTTGCAGCTGGCCCGTGGAGTGCGGCTGGAGGTTGTGTTCTCTTTGTCTGCCTCTCCATGCAGACGTTTGAGGGTGTCATTCCTGCACCCAGGGAGCTTGTGCTGAGGGAGGCACCATCCGGGAGCCACAGTCGTAGGATGTGGGCCTCGAGCTGGCTCTGGAGGCAGCAGAGCAGAAGGAATGTTCTAGAACAAGGCCCTATGGTAGGCGGGGGCTCTGTGGCTGGCGTCTTCGAGGTGAGGCTACAGAGGGAGGGCCACCTTATCCCAAAAGCTGTGGGAAGCCCCTGCAGGCTCTTTGGTAGGAGGGTTTCCGAACCATCGCTCCATGGTGAAGGGAGGTTGACCATGCTGCTGGGTGCCAGTAGCTCATCCCTGGTCACCTGTACTTTTCTGTTTTATGGATATTCCAGAGTCACTTGTCCTTTTATGTGCTGGTGTACTTCTGGTTTGTTCCCACCTTGTTACACACAAAGCTGCTGCGGGTGATGTGTGTGTGGGTCTGTGTGTTGAGGTGTCGCCCTGGGGACCTGATGTGCGCTCCCTGATGACTGGTGTGGCGCACCCTCACGTGTGCTCACTCGCCATCTGGTGTCTTTGGTGAGCGGTCTCTTCAAATGTGTTGTTTCTTATGTGTTTTCTTGAATTCTGTGTGTGTTGTGGATGCAGGCCTTTCCTTGTGTGTGGGCCCTGCGAGGACTCCATTCTGCGGCCTCTATTTTCATTCTGAGTGTGGTTTCCAAAGAGCAGAAGTGTTTAGTTTTGATAAAGTCCAGTTTACCAATTTGTTTTTATGGGTTGTATTTCTGGTGTTGTGTCTAGACTATCTTTGCCTAACTCAGGGTCACAAAGATTCCCCTTCCCCCCCCCACATTGTCTTCCAGAAACTTAGAGTGTTAGGGCTCACGTTTAGGTCTGGGATCTGCTTGGAGTTGCTCTTGGTGTATGGTGTGAGGCATGGATCCAAGTGCATGCTTTTTGCGTGTGGATGTCCGCTGGTTCCCCATTTGTCGAAAGGCTGCCCTTCTCCCATCCAGTTGCCTTTGTAGCCACCACTGGTCCGTGTTTGTGCAGGCCTATTTCTGGACTGTTTTGTTCCTTGATCTGTTCGACTTTGCCTCAGTGACCGCAGCTTTCTGATGCCTCTGGAAAAGGTCAGTGTTAGCCTCGACTCGGTCCTTACCCCCGCTTGTTTGGGTTACTCTAGGACCTTGTGTTTGTGGATTGTAGAATCAGCTTGTCTGTTTGCACACAAAAGCCTGCGGGGGTTCGGGTGGGTTTTGTGTTACGTCTGCAGATGGCGTTTGCGGGGAGTTGACATCCTAACCACGCTGGCCTGGTGAAGCTCTTCACGTCACGTGTTCCTTAACGTTTCTCGGCCGTGTTTGTAGCTGGCAGTGTATGCTCAGATGAACTAAAGTTCATGATGAAGGCATGTGTGTTGTGCAGGGAGCTGCACAAGCTGGAACATGAATCGGGTCAGAAGCTTCATCTCCAGCTAAATATTCAGAAATGCGGTGATGCCACTGCTCCCTCCCCCGGAGCAGCAGTGTTTCCTCCTGTGCTGCTCTTGCTTCCAGCCTTGAACTGCCCCCCTGTGCAGATGAAAAAGAAAATATTGAACTTTGCAACAGTAAACAGGTCTTAAAAGAAAGGTGCCCTCGGTGCGCGCTGTTAAACACCGATGCCCCCCGGAAGACGCAGGATGAGCCTTGACGAACAGGGCCCCGCACTCTGGTGGGGACTTCTTCACCCCCGAGCTGGCGCCCCAGCTCAGCTGGCCGGTGGGTCCTGCACCACTGTCTGCTGGCACTTCAGGGGCCCGGGGGGAGTTTTCCAGAAACTGGAAGTTTGCAGTTTATGGACGAGCGTGGTGAGATGTGACATTGACCAGCTGCTCGTGAAGGGTTGAAACCCTGGGACCAGGGCCACGTGTCTGGCCTCACGTGTGAGTCGGGTGTGGATTGGGCTCAGCAGCACCGTTTGGTACAGTTGGTGCGCTGCCCCCTCCCTGCTTGGGCCTGCGTGGCGGGGTGTGGTGCCAGGACACGGGAGCCCCGCCCACGCGCTTGTCTGACCCTGTGCCCCGAATCCTCGTCCCTGTGCGTTTAAGAGGCGGACAGCCATAAGAGTAAAAGGAACACTTGGGCCTTAATTTCCACCAGCTTTACCGGTGTCCCCGTTAGCATCTTGCTTGGTCTGCTGCTCCTCCTGGCGGGGCTGTGGGTGGCGGTGTGGTGGGAGGGCCCCAGGGACGGTCTCCCTTCTACCCCGGCCCTCCCGGCCCTCCCCCTCCGCGGTCTCCTCCTCTTGGCGCGGGAGCGTGGGGTGTGCGGCACTCAGAACTGAACCATCCAGCGAGGTGCAGACAGACTGCGCCCTTTTCTTGGGCTCGTCCTGACTCTGGCTTCTTCAGCATCAGCGTCGGGGCTCGGGGCACAGTCTCATTCTGCACGTGTGTGATCGCGGACGGCTTTGCCTTTCGTGCCGCTGTCTGTGTTGACTCTCACCACGGCCCGGTGGAGACCTCGTGGCGGAAGTCTGGTCCCCCTGACCCCGGCTGCTACTCCCTGCTCCTGTCACTCCAGCTCCCGCTGTTCCCTCGGGGAGGTGCCCCCTATTCCAGGCCTGCGTGTGAAGGGCCGTGGCCCGAGCCCCCTGGCTTCCCCAGAATTGAAACAAATTTGTTTTGCTTTTAAATTTCAGCATGGTTTATTATGAAAGGGACGCTTTGGAGGGAAGCTTACTTAATGGGCAGGTGGGGTTCCCGGCGGAATCCAAAAGTGCCTGTTTAATTTGTAGTGTAGCTTTGACCTACGTTTTGGTTAAAAATACGATAAGGAATGTTGTAGGAGAGGGATCATGACAGCTAACATTGGGTGAAAACCTTGAGTTTATCCTGAACTCTGGTGCTCGAGGAGGGGTCGGATCCGTTCTTAGGAACTGGCGGTCCGCGCAATACTGGGATACTGTGTGTGTGCTCCGCTCTGCTGTGTGGGGCGCCCTGCCTCCCAGGGAGGGGCGGGGTCAGGGTCTCGTGCGGCGAGCACAGGGAGGCCGGTCACTGCTGCATGGCACGGACCTTGGAACTACCGGCAGGGTGTTCATGCCGTGCGCTGTCATTTTAAAATCTGAGCTTTCACAGCAGCAAAAGATAGAGAATAGTCCAGTATCCTCACCAATAAAGAAATCCTAAATACGCTTTGGATGGAATATTACGTAGCTACTGAAAATTGTGTTTTTGAGGAATGTTGAATGACACGGAAACAACTTACGCTACAAGAAGTGAGAAGACGACGCGGGCTGAGTAGCAACGCCATAGCCTCAGTTGTGTTCACAGTGGCCTTGGCGTGTTTTCCACGCACACGGTCACCAGAGGACGCGGGATTTCAGGAGATTTGTTTTCCGTGTGCGTCTCTGAGTTCCTCAAGTTTCCCGTACAAACTCTACTCTGGGAAAGATATTAAAATTGTTAAAAAAAAAAAAAACCCAAGTTCTTTTCTGTCTGCCCGATCAGGGTTGTGGCTTCCGTGGACTGGCTGGTTTTGGCTTTAATGTGTCTGGAGTAGAGGGGAGGCAGCGGCTCCCGGGTGAGGGAGGGGCCGGGCTCCATCAGGAGGCCTGGAAGGCCGGTCCGGGGCTCCCGGCTTGCCTGGTGACTGCCTGTAGGGCTCGGCTGCATGGGCCAGACAGGCTCTGAAGGGTCTCCTGAAGTGGGCGTTGTGTTTTCCGTGTCAGGGCTTTGCCGGGTGGCCCGGGTGTGCGGGGGGCCTTTGGCGGCGTCTGTGGGTGGGGGAGGGGCCCACCTTGCCCCTGCAGAGGGTGGGGAGGGGCGGCCTCCCGGTGTGACTGTGGGCCAGGCCTGTGTGTCTCAGCGTTGGCAGGAGTAGACTCTGTACAGCTGCTTATCTGTTTGAGATGAGTGGTCACAGCCAGAGTTGACGAGATCCAGGGCTGCGATAACGTCATTAAGACGGGGTGTTCGACGCAGCGGTCAGTGTGGTGACCATCCTCGGGCTATTCTGCCTATTGCCCGATCAGTGACCATAGCTGGGGAGACTGGGCGTGAAGTGCGGCCCCAGGACAGCGCCTGCCCTCCTGTGCGCGTAGCCTTCCCTCCGCCTCAGGAGCGAGTGGCTGTTCTCGGGTTCGCGGTCAGTGGGGGTCCCGGGGTCTACGAGCAGCCCGCCTCCCTCGTGTCCAGCTGTGTCCGTCAATCTCACTGCTCCATTTACATTCCCACTTGGACGTGTTTGTAATGCCCGAGTCCAGTTACGTTACCTGCTTAAAGTTACATGGTCACTTCTCCAAATTTTGTTCAAACCACAGGCCTGCTGCGTGGCTCATGGTACCTTTTCTTACGGGTCTGTGGGGCCAGGGCACCACTTCTGTTTTGTTAGCATCTTAACCACGTCACTGGTTCATACATGTCTATCCTTTAAATATTCCTCTAAGTTTCTGTAGGTGTGATTTCTTAAGCAGAAAAGCAGCTGATAGTCAAAGCGCGTTCATGCACTGCCACGTTAACAGGTTTAAAGTTGGGGCACTAAGTCACGGGTGCTGGCGGGCCCTTTACGTGGCTAGGGGCCTGGCCATCCCTCCTCGCTGCTCGGCGACATCAGCAAGTGGCTTCCCAGAACCCTAACGAGGGGGAGGGGGTCTCTAGTGACTAGTGACAGGGGATGGTGGGCTTGAGAGACTGGCATTGGGAGGAGGGCCAGGTTTCCTCTTTTGGGGTCCCCAGTGTGCTAACAGGCTCCAGGGTCTGGGAGAGTTCAGCAGAGTGTTATTTCAGCAGCTGGTTTTTGTTTTGTTTTTACATTTCAGCACGGTTTATTATAACGGGGATGTTTTGGAAGGAAGCTTACTACTTAATGGGGATGAATGTGGTTCTTTGAAATGAGGGATTATAGCTGTGAGCCCGGGAGAGGCCTGTTACTTCTGGATGTCATGCTGGGTGTCGAAGGAGCCGGGACCCGGGGGTTCAGGGGCTCCTCTGGGAGTTACTGGGGTCACTCGAGCTCCCGTTTGGTTCGGGAGGGAAAGCCCTGATGCTGCTCGTTGTGAGGCCGGCCGGCCGTTTCTTCTCGGAGAGGCCACCTTGCGTGCAGCCTGGAAGAGGCCGGGCCGCGCCAGGGTGGCCTCCTGTCCCGGAGCGCCAGGCACCGGGCCTCGTGCGAAGCAGAGCGTTTCTTCCTCGCCCTGTCCCACCGAGTGGGAGACTTATCCCCAGGTGGGGATAGGCTGCTGTTTCTGGTGGAATCGACGACGTAAGTGCTTTGTGGTTCTTGAAGCTACAGTTAATGCTGCGTCTGGCTGATGGCACTTGCTTCCTGGTGATGGAGCTCTGGAGCTGCCAAGCACGGGTGGCCGTCCCTGTCCCTGCGTGTGTGTCGCGGGCGCCCCAGGTTAGCCGCGGGCGTGGCACGGCCCCCGCACCCGAGAGCAGTCCCGGGAGTTGTGTTCCCGAGAGGAGTGCCTGCTTCGGGCCCCCAGGACCCCAGGCCTCCCTCCTCCGAGACGGCCGGTGGGGCTGGGGGCGGTGGCGAGCGCCGGGCCGCCTCGTGGGGCTGGCGTGTGGCCGTGCAGGCGGCCGCGGGGCAGGTGCCGTGGCCGCGGGAGCTTCGCCGCCTGGCTTCCTTTCCAAGACTCAGTTGCTGCTTGAATCCCACGAGGAAAACCTCGTACGTCTTTCTGTCCCGGACGCCGTCTTTCCGTCCCGGACGCCGTCTTTCCGTCCCGAACGCCGTCTTTCCTGGCGAGCGTGCGACCCTGCACTCTCGCAGCTTCTCCTTTTTCCTTCTCAGAGCCGACCGGCTCCCCTCTGGTAGGGTCAGCACCTTCCCCGGCTGTGGCGGAGGGAGGGCGGGGGCGGGCACGTCTCCTGACGCCAGGTCTCCTCTATCCCCAGGTATGGTCCTCGTGCGGAGCGAGAACGGGCAGTTGTTAATGATTCCTCAGCAGGCCTTGGCCCAGATGCAGGCCCAGGCCCACGTGCAGACCCAGCCTCAGACCACCATGGCGCCCCGCCCTGCAACCCCCACAAGTGCCCCTCCCGTCCAGATCTCTACCGTACAGGTGAGTGCACGCGCGCCAGGTGGCAGCAGCCCGAGGGACGTCCTTCCGGCAGGTGTCCCGCGAGGGCGGAGAGGGGCGGCCACGCGCGGCCACCCTCGGGAGGCTCAGGGGAGCCAGCTCCGCGTCCATGCTCAGCGAAACTCTGCCTGGACTCCGTCCTGTCTGTTCCCTCCCCTCCCGTGACTCCACCCCCGGTGCCTCAGTCTCCTCTTCTGCAGAGTGAACCCTGCGTGCGTTAGTGTTATTGTCAGGGAGGCGCGTGAGAGCGTCAGGAGATTGCGTTGAACGGCACCCCCGCCCCACGTGCTTGGGGGTTAGCACCCTGGGCCCGGAGGTTGGCTGGAGGGGGGACGGGACCCCCGTGCTGGCGTGTCTTGTCCGCATCCTGACTTCCGTTCAGCGCGTGCCAGCACGCTACCCGCGTCTTGTCTCCCGATGCCTTTCTGCCCGGTGCCGTGACCCTGCCGTCCTGACTGGCTGGCTGGTTAGTAACTCAAGTGGAGGCTGGAAGGGGCTTGAGGTCTCTTCCTCCTGTGATTTCAGCCGCGTTCCCTCGGGAGGTGAAGGCCTGCACTGTAGACGGAGGACTTGGCTGTGCAGGGAGACACCGTGCCCCTCATCGAATGTCCAGGGCGGCTCAGAGCAGTGTTGTCAAGGCCCGTGGGGCCGTGTGAAGCGAGATGCAGGCAGATGACACCCGTGCTGTCACTGTCACGCGTGCATGTTACCGTCTGGCCGCCAGCGTGGCCGCTGTCAGCCCGCGTCTGCACCAGTGTGCTCAGGACTGGCCCCGTCTTTCTATCCGGATTAGTGTCAGTGGGCCGCTCGGACCGCTGTCTCCTTTACTTCCTGTTCCGCAGCAACGTGACCCATCTTTAGACCCAGGGGACGCACGCTTCTTACCGTTTCAGTGCTTACGAACAAGATGACCAGAAATCCACACAAGGACTGATTTCCCAGATACTCGCGTTCTTTAAAGTCCACGTTTGGTAGACCGGGGTGAAGGAGCCCGGTGGTGGTGTTACCACCGTACGCACAGATTCCGGTCACACGCTCCCCCCTTGAAGTGGGGTGGCTCTGTTGACTGTAGCTCGCGGCCCGATGCGCCCGAGCCCCCCCTTCTGCGGTAGCGGGCGGTTCGGCTGTGTTTGGGGCGGGGAACCGTGTCAGTTGTTGCTCCTTTTAGATGATGCCTGCTTATTTTTCAGGCACCTGGGACCCCTATTATTGCACGGCAGGTGACCCCAACAACCATAATCAAGCAAGTGTCTCAGGCCCAGACGACGGTACAGCCCGCCACGGCACTGCAGCGCTCGCCCGGAGTGCAGGTGAGGAGGCCGTGGGAGCAGCGCCCTCTGCGTGGAGGTCGGGCCTCGCGGGCTGGGAGGTCGGATGCAAAGGTGGGCTTCGGGAGGAAGTGTCCTGAGGACTGTTTTGTCTCTGATGGCCTACCCAGGCTAGGTCAGGCTTTTCTTTTTTTTTT